AGAACAGGAAGAACCAAGGCAGCCCATGGTGACCTACATAGTAGCAGCTACTAGTTTAGGAGTGGCCCTTGCACCAGCTGCCTGGCATCCTGCATCCACTGCTGTATGGGAAGGACTTCTGACTGCCCCAGCCAGGTGCTCCTGGAGCATCAGGCTGGAGCATCCCACCAAATGAACCCCGGCTTCAGGCTGGGGTCTTGGCTGCCAGAGAGCGGAGAACAAAAATAGCTGTCCCCTATCTTCAGCAATGAAAGGAGGGAGCCTTGACGCCAAGCTCCTGTGGGATTACACACACATAGAGCATTCATTTGTAGGGCAGCCAAAACCAGTACCAGCCACGCATTTTGTCCTTTGGCCCAACAGACAGCAGACTTTCTATTAGTACAATTTAAAGACATAAAATACAACAGCATTTGTTGATCTTCCAATTCCACGGCTTTACTCTGAAAGACTATGCCAGAACCTTAGGAATGGCCAAGAAGAGTGAGTCCGGTGGACTCAAGGCAGAAAGCAGGATGGGAGCTAGTGGAAAATCTGGCTTGGATTTTCCTGAGCAAACATGTTTGCTTTCTCGATAGCCCACTTATGTACTTGGCTCTCTTCTACATGCATTCTCTGTTTTCCTTCCATAGTTGCACCAATCGAAGATTACGTGTTGGAAGATGGGGTTGGCTGTGTATGTGTAGGAGGCTAATGCCTGGCACCTCTTATGTCCATACTTGCATATTCTTGCTTTCCTTTCAGCTTTGATATCTTGATGGAAAATGGAATAGGGCAGACTTGGAGATGTGCAGGTACCTAGCTTCTGTTAATTAAAAACAACAACAACACCAACACCACCACCACAATCAGGTAGTCATCTGTGCCATTGCTGGTCACTAGAAACATAGACACAAATTCCTTAAGGATGTGTGACTGGGAGTTTAATTTTTTTTTAAACAGACCATTCTGGTTTTCAACATATTTGTCTAATATAGAATCCTTCCAGCCTCTCTTTTCTGATTTGCAAATCACAGCATAATTGTGAAGCAACTGTTACAACAAAAAACTACTCATCTGGAACATGCACAGGAAAAAAAAAAGAACAATTGTATTTATGGTTTGCAAAAAAATTTTTAAAAATTAAAACCCATGGTCTTTGGCTCACAAATTCAGCTTTTCCAAAAAAGAATAAAATCTGAATGCCTGCAGTAAGCTAGCATGTTAAAAAATAACTAACAGTATGGGGAAGGAGGTTGGAAAGAAAACAGATAAAGGCCTGTGGTGTGTGGTTTTTTTGTTGTTTTTTGTAAAGGACATTTTGTCTCATTTGGTGAATCTGTGGAAATGATTTATGGCATTCTGCACAAGGAATTCTGACTCCACCTGAATGGACTCTACATCCCCATGGCTCTCCACAGCAAGAAAGGGTACACTCACGGCTCTGAATCTAGTGTTAGAATCGATTTTATAATTACAATAATAGTGGATACACAAAGGTCCTCCTGGGAACTGCGCACGGACAAATTAGACAGTGTTGGCACAGATAAAATATTCATCACCAAAAGAGTACATAAAATGTATCTGAGAGGATCACGGCTCATCTGGGAATCACAAGAGGAATAAGATCTCACCAGAAAAATCCAAGTATTCTCTGCTATGTAAAAATCTGAGACAAAGAATTTCAGTCTTCACTAATTCTGGATTAAAGTTAAGACCTTCCTGTCACATCATCTGGTGGCACTTGAGTATGGTCCAGAATGAAAAAAGTCCTGAGAGTCTCTTAAGTAGCCAGACTTCCAAATCACAGCTCTCTTCAATCCTATTTTCCATAATTTCCATAACCATTCCCTGTAATTGTACATTTCTATTCACCCTCAAAAAAGTACAGAAGATACGGTATCTTAAACCATGACATTTTTGAAATGCTACATTACACAGTGTTAAATCACATATTTCTTATATGCTTTTAGGTTTTTATTATAAGACATACCTAGTCCTTCTCTGAAAGAAATGAGAAGTGAATGGATGAATAAAAAGAGATCCAACAAAATCTGATCAAATGGGAACAAAGGATACTCTAAATCCCAGTCAATTCAGGTTAAGGTGGGATTTCAAACTTTCACAGACCCGAGGCTGGAAAGGCAAGAGGAGTTAAAAGGGGAGATCAGAGAGCACTAAATAATCTGTATATCTTTGGCTTAATACAGGACATGGCTTCGGGTGCTACCTTTAATACTGAATTTCTACTGAATATCAGCTTGAGAAGTTTCTATGCTTTCATTAAAAGGGTCAACATTTATGTCACTTCAACACAGAGATTTCACAAAGACTGAAGATTCAGAAAAGCAAGCACACAATACTAAAATGTCAACTGCTAATAATCACACCTTAAATCTCTTCATTTTTAGCACAATTTCTAACAACTTAACACTCCAATTATCTGGTCATAAAAATCATATTAATTCACAAGAGTTTTGGGTTAGCCTTCCAAGACCTCTCTCTGGCTGACTAGTAGAGTGTTTGAGGAGACCGTGGTCCTGAAGGTGTGATGGGGGCACATTTACTCAAGGGTTTAAAAAAAAAAAAAGGTCAAAAGACCCAGAAAGAGGGTCATAAACCATGAAGACAAGTGGAATTTAAAGATATCTTTAATATGAAATGGACACCAAATGTAGAAAATAGGTGAGGGGAAAAATAACTAAGGTCTGTCCCAGAAATTATGCACTATAGGCTCTACTAGCCTTTGTGCTGGGTCTTCTGGGGGTGCATCCCTGGCCTGCCTCCGCTCTTCTCCAACCTGCTCCATAGGCCCGGAGGCTCACCTCTACGGACTGCACAGGTGGGGACCCGAGCTTTAGCTATGGTCAGATTGCACAGAATGGAAGCACCAGTAAGAGATGGGACAAAGAACGAAACTGGGTTCCCCCACACCCTCTGCTCCTTCCTTGCAGGGCTGGTGAGAGCCCGCTGCATCCTGAGAGTGAGATCCACAGTCCTTATCAGGCTGACCCCTCCACCCAGCCCTGCCTCTGGGCTCCCAGAAGGGTTCCCTCACTTTGCCCTTTTGGGACTAGGGGTGGTTTCCTCACACAGTGTCCACATCTTTTTATAGTCCCATTAGTTAACTCTCTTCAAGTTACCCACTTTGAACAAACCTCCCCCCCACTCCCCGCCAGGACCCTGATGGAGACTTCTTAGTAACTAAAATGAAGAATCCAGAATGACACCTAGATTTTTGGCTTCAATGGCTAAGGAATTAAGGTTTGGGGTATCGGGTGGGTGAGAAATTAAAGAGTTTGGTGAGTTTTAGTCTTTTTTAATTTATTTTTAAATTTATGCTGAGAAGCACACACACAGGGAAGGGGCAGAGAGAGAATTCCAAGCAAATCTGAGCTGTCAGCAGCACAGAGCCCAAGGTGGTGCTTGATCCCATGAACCATGAGATCATGACCTGAGCCAAAATCAAGAGTCAGACACTTAACTGACTGACCCACCCAGGTGCCCCGAGAGTTTGGTTTTAGTTATCTTTGATACGCATATCAGTCTGTAGTTCTGAAGAGAGATCAGTATTGATATAATAAATACCAGTATCACTGGACAGTTTTTAAGCCATGGATGATGTCACCTGGGGAGTCTATACATACTGAGGGGAAGAGGAGTTTTCTTGGTATTCTTGTAAGAAATGACTCCTTTTGCAAACTAATGTTCAAATTATTGAAGCCAAAATGTAAAAACTTCACTGTTCCTATGCTTCTTACAAACCCCATCATTGTACTTCTAAACTTAGCCTATTATAGCAATCACTTTTATTGGGGACTTTAACATTTGGTCCCATTAACAAACTTAATTCATTAAATTCCCTTTAAATTTTAAACCTGTATTTACAATTTTAATACAGTCAATTTTCTTTTTAAAGCACTCTGATTGCTTAACACAAATGTTTCCAAGCACCAAATTTTTATAATGCCAATAAGTTAAACATAAAACTCGGTAGATCTTAGGTCCTCAAACATTTCAGTTCTGATTACAAAAACATTTATACTAAAATCATAAGTCTAAATCAATTATTCAATTTTATAGTTTTAATTGGAATCACAATTAAATTGTCATTACAGGAAAAATATTTTAATTGCAAAAATTAAAGGGGCTCCTGGGTGGCTCAGTTGGTTAAATGACTGACTCTTGATCTCCGCTCAGGTCACGGTCTCATGATTCATGAGTTCAAGTCAGGCATCGGGCTCCACACTGATGATGTAAAGCCTGTCTGGGATTCTCTCTCCTCCCTCTTTCTGCTCCTCCCGTGCTCATGTGCTCTATCTCTCAAAATAAATAAACTTTAAAAAATTAAAATGTTATTTCAAACCTACCATGAAATGATCAATAATTAGAGTTTGATTTACTTTGTCTATACATAATTATAATTTCAACCAAAGACTTCTGACATGATTTGGATTCTTCCCTGAAATATCTATCAGTCATGTATAGAATTCTTTTTCAAGTCCCTGTATTAGAAATGTCAGGCCTTAAAAATGGTTTTGTTAAGGGGCATGCAAGATGCCAGATATCAGAGTCAAGCTGATATTACTTAATTGTTCCCTGACATTTGGATCAGCAATATCCCTCCTAGGTTGTTCCTAAGTTATTTCATTAATTTGTTAGATTTGCATTTCTTTGCATTTTAATGGCTTCCTATCTAGTTCTAAGGACACATTAAGGCCAATATTGTGGATGAACTATATTGCTCTTCCCTCTTCTCAAAAACCCGTATTCCCACCAGATTCTATTCCCTTCAGCCTACTCAGGGTAGTGCTCCGGCTATCCCCTCCTCTCTCCCCTAGATCAAAATTCCCTACTCCTGGGTAATTCCCACCCATATAAAGCATGCTGCTATTTCTCAAACCAGGAAAGGAGGATTAGAGGAAAAGAGTGGGGGAAGAAGGTGGAGGAAGGCAGGAAGGATTCTCTCTAGGAAGCACTTTCTCTATTTTTCTGATTTCTGTTAGAGCTCAACAACTTACAAGCATCCTCTCTGTTTCCTCTCTCCTTTTCCTGAAACCCACTCTTATCAGGGTTTTACCATATGCTCTCTTCTTCTCAAGGTCACCAATGATGTCCACATTACTAGATCCCATGGTCAAATCTCAGCCATGCTCTTACAGGTCATTTTCAGTTAACAATTCTCAATGCTTCCTCCTTACAGCTTCCTCACTTAACTCCTCCTCTTCTGGGTTTTCTCTGAGAAAGGTGTTCCTTTCTAGTTGCTTAATCTCACTAATCTCTTACCACTGGAATATCTGAGGCTGACCTAAAACTTCTTTTCTATGTTCACGTTTTTGTTGATCTCATCTAGTCACATTCTTTCCATGTCCCTAGAAGCTTTTAAAGTTTGTTGTTGTTGTTGTTTGTTCCTGTTTTTTTTTTGAGACGGAGGAGAGAGAGCATGCATGCACGAGCAGGGGAGGAGCAGAGAGAGGGGGTGAAGAGAGAATCCCAAGCAGACTCCCAGCTGTCAGTGTGGAGCCTGAGGTGGGGCTGGATCTTAAACTGTGACATCATGACCTGAGCCAATATCAAGAGTCCGACGCTTGACCGACTGTGGCACCCAAGTGCCCGGAAAAGCTTTTAACTTTAAATTTATACCTGCAGCATGGACTCTAAGCTCATATGCAAATGTGTATTCCTCCTATCTCCATCTTGGATATCTAACCGGCATCTCAAACTGAACATACCCAGAATATGGGTCCCCAACCTTTTCCTCCTCCCTTTGCACCAACTCTTCATTCATGCTTAGGTAAAAAACCCTGGGATGATCTTGGTATTTCCTTTTCTCTCAAACCACACTCTTATCCATCAGGAAATCCTGCCAGTAATAGCTTCAAAAGAGATCCAGAATCTAACTATGGCTTATGTTTTACCCTTACCCCTCTGGCATAAGACACAATCATCGTTTGCCTGCATTATTCTCCCCTCCCCTATGGCTTCACTTTGCACTGCTATGCACTATGAACTGTACTCTGGAAGCAGGCGATCCTCCTTCTAAAGAGTATCCTAAGCAGGTCAGTAGCAGCCTAACGCTACATTAACAATGCTTATGTCATTCACCTGGCTTCATCTCATTACATAGGTATCTTATCTCACAGCATCAAAAGGTTAGTGCAGTCTAGTAAGATTGTGAGAGACAACATTCACAGAACTTTAACTACAGTATGTTGTTACAATTGTTCTATTATTAATCTTTTACTACACTTAATGTATACATTAACCTTTATCCCAGGTATCTACATACAGGAAAAAACCTACATATAGGGTTCAGTACTATCCGAGGTATTCAGCATCCACTGGGGGTCTTGGATTGTATCCCCAACAGCTAAGGAGGACAGGGAGAGTATGTAGTCTCACAATTGGCTTCCTCTTTCTGCTGTAGCCTCCCCAGAATCTATTTATAACACAGCAGCCGAAGCGATCCTGTTAAAATGTAGCATAGCTCTTTTTCACTCAAAGTCCTCTAAGGCCATGGATCCAACTCAAGATAAAAATCATAGCCCTTATGATAGACTGTAAGGTCCTATAAAATCGGCCGTCACCTCCATACCTCTCATCCCCGTCCTCTCCTACAATTTCATCCCTCAGCTACTCAGGCAAACTGGTCTCCTGGCAGTTCCTGGACCACACAAGATACAATCCTACCTTAGGGCCCTTGCACTTGCCATTGCCTCTCCCTGGAAAGCTCTTCCCCAAGATACACACATGATTCAGTCACTTCTTTGTCTCGCTTGGGTTTCTGCTCACACATCATTTTTCAATGAGATCTGCTCTAGTTACTCTTTGTTAAAAAGTATATTCTTCCCTCCTTACAACATTCCTTGTCCCCTTCCTGTTTTGTTTTTCCACACTTATCTTCTTACATATTCACTAATTTGCTTTGTTTGTCAGTCTTGCCTCACTAGAATGGAAGTCCTATGATGGCAGGAGCTTTTGCAGGTTTTTAACTGATGTATCCCTAGCAACTAGAACATGGCCAGGCTCATTGTTAAACTGATTTGTTGAATGGTTTCCAGAGATCCTCTACAAGCATATTTGGATTTTTTCCTAACTTCTTATTAAATTGAGGTCAATGGAGCCTATATTCTATCCATTATTTTTCTTGAACAGAAGAAACACATCCTCTTAAATCATATCCTATTGGTTTTGGCATATCTTACACCTTTGTCTGACTTGCCGAGTTTTGTCTTCCTCTAGAATTACAACACTCACGCCATGCCAATGACAAAGAAGCGGAAGGCCTAGGCAGACTCCTCGAGCTGTCAAACCTTTAACAAGTTGGGCACAAGAGGAGAAACCAAGGGGACTAATGGGGGTGGGGGGCAACTAGAAAACAGTGATATCAAAGTCAAGAAGGATTAAGTGCTTCAAGAAGGAAGAGACAATGACCAACTGAGATAAATGCTTCTAAGTAGTTAACTTAAGATCAGAACACGCAGATACCCATTATATTTGGGAACAGGTGGGATGTTGGCAATCTTGATAATCTCAATGGAATAATAGAGATGGAAATGTGGGGTCTATCTTCATGTCCAAATACTCCTTCTCCCTTTAGGTGTTTACCTGGGCTAGTCCCTCTATTCTCATTCCTTCACCTATATTGATGACTTCCAAATTCTATGTACTGGCTTCCATCTTTCTGAGAACCAAGCTAGTGTTTTTTAAGCTTCCTGTTAGACATCTTTATCTAGATATCTCTTAGGTACTCAAAAACTCAAATTCATCATTAATCCTTTCATCCATCTGTGTGTCATTCCTATCTGTCCTACTTTAGTAAATGGCACCATCCAACCCATCATCCAAAGCTAGCAACCTCTTAAACATCCTCACTCCTTTCTCTTTCACACTGCCCACAATTCATGAAGCTCCCCCCCCCCCATTTGCACTGATTCTACCTCTTCATATTTATTCAATATACATACTCTGTCCCTATTGTTTTTCAATAGAGCCTTCATTCTATTTTTTATTTTTATTTTAAAAATTTTTAATGTTTATTTTTGAGAGAGAGAGAGAGGGAGATAGCATAGTGAGCAGGGGAGGGGCAGAGAGAGAGGGAGACAGAATATGAAGCAGGCTCCAGGCTCTGAGCTGTCAGCACAGAGCCCGGTGTGGAGCTCAAACTCATGAACCCCAAGATCATGACCTGAGTGAAGTCAGATGCTTAACTGAGCCACCCAGGTGCCCATCATTCTATTTTCTAAAGCTTATTTGTTTTCAGAGAGCCAGCAAGCGCACACACGAGTGAGGAAGGGGCAGGGAGAGAGAATCCCAAGCAGGCTCTGTGCTGTTAGCGTGGGGTCCAAGGTATGTCTAGCACAACACAAGTTTTTAATCAACTATTTGTAGATTCACTGAAAGAGCTCATATGGCTCTATTATAAGTCATTCAGATTTATGGCTATACAATCAGTTTTTTAACCTTAATAGCCAAGATTGAATAAAACAGTAATAGCTTGCAGCTGAGATATCATTGATGCTAATACCACAAATAATTCTCCAAACAGACACCACCACCCAGATTTGAGTGTTCTACAGGGGATTCTGGTCGTGAATACTGTAGAATCCCAATGACAGTCACTCATCGGACTTATTCCCACTGTTACTTTCCATAGGTCCTCCTTGTCCACTTAACCCTCTACAATATATTCCGCCTAACTTACTTTCCATAGTCTACAAATTACAACTCTAATGAAGAGCCTGAGCTTTGCTAAAGCAGACAAAGTACATAACTCATTATTAGCTTCTCTTTGTCAGAGACGTGGACCCAATGAGATGTTCGCCTTGAACAAGAAGTGACAAGTCATGACGGGGAGAATGTAGGCAAGGACAGGAGATGAAGCAAGCCTAAGACACAGGGCTCCTCATCTCTCCTGGAAGGTGCTGAAATCCAGCAACATTGTCTTGACCTTGATAACCTCCAGAGGGCCTCAACATGAGAGGACAGAAAAGACCTCAGAACTATTTTGGCCCCAAAGCATTTTTTGAAGCAAGTTAGAAACGTTATGAAATTCACAGTTGTCATACTTGACTTGCATCCAGAAACACAACTCAAATGAAGCATGTAGTCTAAATGGTTGATGGTTTTCAGCTGGATGTACTTTCCAGCCACCTAAATGAAAAATCTTTCTCTAGTTTTACTCTAATAAAAAGCTTTGACCTGGTGGGGGGGAGAGGGGAAGCACTATCTACCTTTATGTTAAAGCGAGGAGAGGGGTTGGATAATAGAAGACAGCATGACTTTACATAGTTTTGTACTTTTAAACACTGTTATTTATAGGTTAAACACTGTCTAGAAGGCTGAGGCCTGGAAAGAATCTATTTCAGCATACCTGATACATCCTATACAAAAAATGAATCATCCGTTATCTAACTTCTACCATAGAAGAGCTCTACTTTCAGCTGTATGAACTTCCTTAGACCTCCAGTCATGCTATTTGATTCCCAAAGGGCTGGCCTAGAGTGGGGTGTCCCACAGGGGAGGGTGTCCCCACCTCTACCAGTGGTTGGAAATGATATACAGGCCTCCTGAGACACTCGGGATGCCTATTTACTCAGAGTAAATCCATATTCCTTTTGTCCAAGAGGCAATATCGTTCTCATTTCTCATGGCCCAGGTTTCCCGGACTCCACACCTCCCCACTCTAGGCTCATGCTACACTCTGTACTCTCATTATTTCATGTTGCCAATGATCTACTTACTACACTGCATTAAAGTCAACACATGTCCAAATGACTGAATGTTTGTCTCACCATTACATATAAGGTTTAACTCTAAATCATTTATTCAACTTAGCGTCATCATACCTGACAGTGTTTGTGGAATGTGTCAATCAATGGACAAAATTAATCATGGCTGATCTCAAGAAATTGAACAGATCCATTGAAATAGCCCAGAATCAAGATGAGATTTGATTAATGGAAGAGATGAAGGTTTTACACTCATTTTCTGAGGCAGATTCTCTATTCACTACCAATATTCTAATGGGTAATTTACTTGCATGTTTCAGAAAGTGACACACTGCAAGGAACACAGTGACTGCTTGGGATTCTCTCCCCCCTTCTCTGTTCCTCTCCCATTTGCTCTCAAAATAAACTTTAAAAGCCCCCCCCCAAAACAAAACAACACCTT